GAGATATAGAGGTTTCTGTCCCCCGCTGTTTCGTGCTCTTTTTGTCAGCTACCATGGCCAGGCATGGAATGATATTTCAGCAACGGAATATTAGCTAATATCTCAGCGCGCGTCTCCGGAGGTGCGATTAGATCGCTCTCAGCGTTCCGGATTCATCTCCGTCTTGAGCTAATCATTTATAGGTATGGTTGTGGAGCTGTGGAGATTTCTGCTCTGGTTGATTTATGATTCTTGGGGTTTTCTCTCAGCAGTCATAGCCAGCCAGACACGATGCCATGGAAAATATTTGGCAACGAAATATACCAATCTCTCCAAACACGTCTCTGGGGGTGCCATTATGATGCTGGAGACGTACCGGACTCATCCCCGACCTGAAATAAACTTTTCGGCCCCTCCTGATTGAAATGAAGTATGTTTGTTCCAAGGAGTCGTTCGCACATGATGTAGTAGCTGCACTTGTGGTTATAACCTCCGGCTATCAATCTCACTGAAAGATATTTGGGAACAAAAAACACCAATTTCTCAGAACACACCCGGAGGAGTGGCATTGATTTACTGGAGACGTACCGGATTTATACCCACTGGTCCGCTAAGCTTTCGGGTGCAGAATGGTATAATTATTCGTCGTTCTTGGTCTTCCCTTTTAACTACGAATAACAATGCAACTGAAAAAAATGCTTGAGAACGAACACACTAATATCTCGGAACATGCCCTAAAGGTGGATTGCGTTCCTGGAAACGTACCGGAATCATACCCGCCTTGGGCTAAACTTTGAAACCTATCATGGGCGAGATATGAAGGTTTCTGTTCGGGTCAGGTCGTGGGGAGGGGGGTAGTTTTACAATCTTTATTGGATGAGACATGGTCTCGAGTGATATTTCGTGATTAGCCACCGCCCTTTTTCACTAGAGAGAGGCGTACTAAAGGCAATAGGGTCTGGTGCGGAGGTGGAGATCTGGTGGTATCGCCAAGAAAGTGTTCTGAGGTACTTAACGTTCCTGAGGACAAATATTATTTTTGCGTTTGTAGGTGAGGAAATCCTATACCACTACTATGGAGGTATTCTGAGATGACTGTTTCGGTTGAAGATCGTTGTTCCAAGGCGATAACAGAGAAGAATATAGAGGGTTAGGGTTATTAATTTATAATCGCGAACATTATGGTCGAAATAAATAATTTTCCCTTAAAAAGAAACTCCCGAGACTTTTACAAAATAGTCTCGAGATCTTACATATTCAACTTTACATGGTCTCGTCTTGTCTTGTTCAAAGCTTGGAGACGAATTCTCACCGGGTTTTGTCTCATGCCCATCACTATGGGGGAGGCGACAGACGGTTACGATAAAGTTTAAAGGGAACACCAAACGCTCTGGAAAGTTACTGTGAGATACCACTGGCTTGCTCGGGTTATATCGGTGTTTCTCGGGCAATCCAGAAGTAAATGGAATATAGGTAACGTAGGGGGCTATCCATTGCGCTGCGGGGAAGAGCGACCTTTGAAACCGCTGCTACCATGAGAAAGATATCCGGAGATGAAAAACAAGACTTTTTCAGGCGTTTCAGTAGAGATGTCATTGAACTTCTCATACTTCCGGGATTTGATGTCGCGTGGGACGTTGGGTGTTGAATTAATGAATTAAAGAAAAAAAAAAAGAAAAAATGAGGGGGGTGTTGGATTACACAATACGAGTGAGAAGTTGTGATTCCGGCGAATGTCTCTCAAGTTAAAAGCCTACCGAGCTCTACACAATTCCAGGGTCTAGAGCTATTGGAACTTAAAATTAGGTACGATACGGACTTAGTTCTGTAATTGCCCCATTAAGCGCTCGTTTGAGCAATTCGTTGTCCACCGTCTAGTATTCTTGTAACTTACCAACCCAGCAAACGCTATTTAGCGACGAAAAAAAGAGATCTCACAGACCTCTTACTTCGAGGTGCGGTTAGATAGCTGGAAACGTACCGGATTCATTCCTACCTTCCGCTAAGGTTCTGAACGACCGGTGGTGGATATGGGAAGTTCTCTCTCGCGGACCGGAAAGATCTCGAGAACTTTGGTTATTCTCTCCGAACCCTATTCCTAAGCAAAAACGCCCGGGAAAATTATTTTAGCACGAAGAACAACGAATCTCCCGGTACGATTATCCAAGGGCGGGATGAGATTGCCGGAGATTTACCGGATTCATTCCCACCTTCCACTAATGTTTGAAACGAGCCGTGGTGGAGATAGAGAGTAATCGGGTCTCGCCCCGAAAGCAGTGCGAGCCTAACGTAGCCTCCCAGAACCATCCTCGGTCATGGCTGCTACTGCGAAAAGATATTTTGGGACCAACAACAACGTATTTCTCCAAACACGCGCCCGGGGGTGCCATTAGGTCACTGGCGATGTACCGCATTTATGTACGCCTTCAGCTAGGCTTCTGAGCCTCTCTTTGCGCAGTGGAAGGGTATACTGTTTTCAACTGTTTCTGAACTGCGGGGAAATTCACGTGACCTGGATACCTCTAACACCTCCGAACCAGCAACGAATTCCGAATGACCCCCAAGCGCATATATATTTTGTGATTATAAACCACAAATCTCAGAGATTTAACTCGGAGAGGCACGGTTAGTTAACCAGAGACGTATTGGACACATCGCCGGCTTCAGCTAGGTCTTTACAGTGCTGGCGGAGGTGATAAATCATTTGGGATTTCATTTACGGTTGGAGGGAGGAGGGCATTCATTCCTAACGCGCCAAAAAAACAAATGCCACATAGTCCTGGAGGTGGATATAAATGGTTCACATCTTTTCTTTCCGTTCGGAGAGCGCGTGTCTGATATTTACCAACCCTCTTCACCATCAGAGAAAGCGGGATGGCAAAAGAAAAAGTTAGAAACGACGAATTTCTCAGACTTTTTCTGTAGAGGTACCGTTAGCTGACTGCAGACATACCGGATACATCATCGGCGCCATTGAAGTCTTTATAGCTCTGGCGGCGGACGAAAATGGTATACCGTTTTCCTTTTCTTTCGGAAAGGGGGATGGCGTGCACGTGACGTGGTGCCTCCAATATTTGTTTATTCCGGGAAACCGCGAACAGCAAAGGAAAAATATTTGAGGGCCAAAAACGCCAATTTCTCAGAACACACGTCCGAGAGTGCCACTAGATTTCTCAGAGTGTACCGGACGCATCGCCGCCTTCAGCTAAGGCACTGAAGCTACGGTTGCGGAGAAGGAAGTACACGTAACTGGGCTCCCCAACGATGTACCTCACCTCCTCCTTACCAACAGCGAAGTTTAGATAGAAAAAAATAAGATTTTAAGACGAAAAACAACGAATCTACCGGTAGGATTGTCTGAGGATGCGATTCGATTCTCGGAGACGTACCGGATACATCCCCGCCTCCAGCTAAGCTCACGACCCAATGGTTGCTGAAGTGTAGAGGCCCCGATTCTTGAGAAGAGAGAGCAAGTGCACGTGAGGAACTGCACGTGACGGAGAGTCAATGCAATGATCATGATCAATGCCCCCCGGGGGGGGGGGTGAGATATTTTGGGATCGAAAAGTACAGATTTCTCAGAACATGACCCTGGGGTACCATGATTGCTAAATACGTACCGGATGCATCCTTTCCTTCAGCGAAGTCTTTAGATCCTTGGGGGCGGAGACGTTTGGTAGAAGATCTTGTAATCAGGTGAGGGGGAAGTGCACGTGACCAGTAAATCGCTGACACATCTACCAGACAACGAAGCATCCATGGAGTTGGGACAACAATAACGAGTTATATGCTATGGGAACTAGATTATAGATGCCGTAATCTGCTTTATTTTATTCTTCACAGTCAACCAAACGCCGAAGGGTATATCTCTACCGAGGGCTGAAGCACTTGATTTTGTGATGGTTTCCGCACTGATGGAGGGTGATAAACCCATGTATCGACGAGGTGAAGATTAAACTTGTGTCCACTGGACTATTTCCTCACTATCTTCTCTTGGATTCTAGAAATCGTACATTGTTTCGTACAGTAACGAAGGAATAAAAGCTTCCTGCGCGCGCGATCTCACTACTCCACCGGACAGAAAGAAAGCATCAACCAAAGCATCAAAGTCCTAAAAATATACGGAGTAGACGCATAGATACTTCCTGCCCAAACTGAAAAATCATAAATCTATAAAAATGCCTGTCACCGCCACCCCATTCACTTTGGCATCGAGACGGAAAAGAAATCGGATGCTATCCTTCAAAGCTAAGCTACCTCCCAATACTTGACAGGTAGGCAGGCAGGCTCACTTCATCCCCAAGACATGGAATACCTTCGCTGTCTCTTTCATTGAGAGGCTCGGAATCCGAACAGGGTATGCCTGGGATGACAGGAAAATCTGTTGATGGAAGTGTGGAATGTGGGTGTTTCTATGAGGTATTTACCGACATACTATCTAGCCGTGAAGGTCTAACTACAGCTGGAGGAAATTACGAAAAAAATCAGAGTTTTCGAAAGGTCAATGGGAGAAATGGAGGGGATTAATCGGTGTGGAAATGACTACCGGGGAATAGATAGAAGGGAACTAAAAGGATATAAGGCTGTAATTAAGAAATAACTACAATTTTCTTAACGGTCCCTCGCGCCGTTCTTAATCGAAAGGCTATCAAATGTCAAACTACCCTCTGGTTTTGATATCGTGAACCAGCCGGGAGCCAACATTAGTACACATTCGTAGTAGGTTCGGCGCAACGGATCAAGCCTTGAGGTCTAGCTTAAAATAATGGAAAAGTAAAGTTCGTGATAGTAGAAAGATATAAATGTACAAGAAAGAGTAAGACCAAGTCTAATACTGGTTAACGTTAATATACTCGGATAAGCGTCGTCTCATTGTAAGCTCGAACAAAAGTTCCGTACAGAGTAGGAACTTGATACTCTACTGTCAATCATGATCAGCACACACAATTGAAATCCCAAGATCACAAGCCATTGCACCAACTAAGACCAACTCCTATATCGTGAGTAAGTTGCACTAATACTCAAGACCACTCAATTGCTATGTTATCCTCATCATCACCCAGATATCCCTTCTCTATAGCCATGAGACGATACCTCTCGGCCTCCAACTCTGTCAACTGTTTATAGATCTCCTCTATCGCGGCATCTATAGTTCTCTTGTTCACATCTATCTCCTCAAGGGAAACTATGCTAGGCACCTCACCACATAGCGCCGACATATTCAATCGGACTTTATTTAGGTTGGAATATAGAGACTTGACCTCAGCGATGAAGAGACAGAGAGCCTCTATCCTTCCTTCAGCTGTGTCGTCGAATGAATGTTCTCCAACTTGTACACGCTCGGACGCATATACGGGCTTTTGATCTTGCTTCCTTGTCATCTCCAGTTGTAGGGGGTTTTGATAGGACGTCAGGTTTTAGTTCGATTGCTATCCCGGATAGAGTTATATTAGCTTGAGCCTAGAAGAATAGATGTCGGGTGTACGGTTGGAAATTGTTTGAACCTATCGGAATCTATACGACCAAGAATAATTTAGAATGTTGAACTGTCCAAACACAAAAGGTTGTTTCAGGAGCGGGACTGAGTGAATGTTGTCACTAGACGTCAGATACAGGAGGTGATGGGCAATACGAGCTGCTGAGTATGTTCTGATACAGAAGTGACGTAGATGTAGATATAATTGGAATAGAAACAGGGGGGTGGATGTAGTGGGGGGGACAGTAGAGGGTAGAATCAACAAAGCCTATGAGTGATATATATGTAGGAAGTAGACACAGTTTTCAAAGATTGTCACCGTTAGTTGTTCAACCTGATATTTGAGAATCTCCTATGCACCTCAGGTTCAGATAAATCGTAACCTGTCTGTCCCAGCCCTCATGCTAACCATTTACCTCAAGTCCGTTCAATAGGAAACCCACTCAACGTACAGTTTGGAAATTACGAACTTTGACCAAGTGGTAACCTAATCATCGGGCATTATACATAGAAGATAGTGGAGGGGTAGATACCTGTTGTACGAAGCCAGACCAGCGCTCTGACGACAGATTGTAGTTCGCATATGATGTTTGTTCAATAAAGTATAATGTCCATGATCTCGTCAGTCATTTATGATGTGATTGACTTCGTTTCGGTTTACTCAGAAACAATTCAATTATGTCTCTCGGTGGGCAATTTTAGTTGGTACACTTGATATATGCTTCAGTGAGATTGCACTCGTTGTTAGACTATTATCCATGATCAAGTGGCCACACATATTCAACTTTCCAATCGTGACATATCCGGGCCAAAGAAGAATAGAACGCTAGTTAGCGATTGAGGTTGTGTTAGAGAAGCTCGATATATAGAGGGACCAGATTTCATAGAAATATCTGGCCTGGACCTAGCAGGGATATAGTAAAATCTGGTAAAGTATTACAGGTCCGGGGGTTGAAAATTTGAGTGGTTCCTTTGAAATGAATATGCAGGACCAGATCTATATCCCTAGAGGGCAGGGAAATGTGTATCAAAAAAGTATTAAATAATATTCAGTAAGTTCGTCGAGAATGGCATACATTTTGCTTCATAATCTCAATATTTTGGCGGAGTGAAAGTGGTTTTGGCGGAAATTGGACTACTTTAAAAATGACTTTACCAACAACCTTATTAACATCTTTAGAAGCCACGCTTCTTTCACACTTTTTGGCCATATATACATGGGGTGATGAGGTTTGGCCACCGGCGATGCTTACATTATTAACAAAGGCCATCACATATGAAACATGTCATAACAGTGTATCCTACTACTATCCGAGGGGTATCAAGTCAAAATAGCCTGCAATTATATTTCAAACAAAAAGCTTTTCAAAAATGTAATTTTTCCTACAAATCTTCCAAGTCCATTGATACCATGTAACGGGGGTCTCTTCTAAGAGAAAATAGAATAAGATAGAATAGAGATGGCCGTGCAAGATAGACAATCAGGTTGCAGATTATTCAAATATACTATCGCTATAGCTCCAGACGTGAAAGACCAACATATACGGCCATTAAGTTGGAGGAATTTCTTTTTATATTGATATGAGAAAAGTGGTATATACATTACTGGAAAAAGAGCGGGGACTTGAGAAAAGCAGGTTCAATTATCCAATTCTCTAACTCTTCGATTTGATTTATACACAGTCCGATTAAAGTCTGGTGTACTATATTGAAGCCCATCTTTATATGCATTCAAAATGCGAAGACTCTTCCTAAAATACTTACCAATGAGCTCTTTTGTGACTGACTCCACCGTTTCTGGAACCACCTTTCTTAATGCCTCGATACTGTATCCACAGTTATCTCTTGCATACTTTTTAGGCCTTCCCCAGTAATACTCAATCCAGTTTAATTCGCAATGAAACTTTGGATAAAATAAAATCATATGCCCCATCTCTTCAACCTTCTCCTGCAGCATACCTTTTTGGCCCTGAAAATCGGGCTTGAGTGTCATAATTCTGCGTGCACAACAGCCATTTTTGGTGGGGTCATCCTTATGGGTTTGGAGGATAGTGCATTCAGCGCATTTCCGAATTTTTGGGAATTCAGAGTTCAATTGTTCTTTGCAGTCATAGCATTTGTTTCTTCCAGTACAGTTGCTGGTTTGACATGCTGCAATAATTCGCTTTACTGCCGCAGTTCTTTGTCTTTCAATGAGTTTACAAGCTGGGCAGTTATTCATCGAACAATCCAGCTTAAGTGAATCCAACCACAGACCACGTTCAGTCAAGACAATTTGGAGACCTTTAGGATGCCCCGCATAATTGTTACCAGCATTTTCAGCAGGGAATACCATAAGCTGTTCCTGTTCAGTAATAACTCCATTGATTGTGGTTGAAAATTTCGTTTTCCTCATGTATTTAGGATTCTTGCCACCTGGTTCTTTATTCATTTCAGAGGCTCGCAGGTGTAACGGGGATCCTCTCTAAGAGAAATAGAATCAGGTAGAATAGAGACGGCCATGCAAGATAGACAATCAGGTTGCAGATTATTCAAGGATACTATCGCTAGAACTCAATAATCTTTAAGGGCTCTGCTACCAGTAAGAACTTGGTTTTTCTTTCTGATGAAGACTCGAGAGAACAGGACTGAAGGGCGAGAATGAGCCTGAGTACTTATACTCCGAAGGCCTCTATTCTTTGCTCCTAACTCCTTACTAAGTTCCGGTGAAGCCTTTCCTCGGCGCCGGAAACAATACCACCGCTACCCCGCTTTTCTCTAAACGTTAGCAGGTGTTTCCGAAACCCAAGGCAACCACCCTTAGTCAAAGCCTTTGTAACACCTGCAGCCTTGGTTGCCACACAACCGAGGGTATGCATGAATGAGCTGCCACTCAGGTGTAAGCTTAATCATTGCTGTAGAGCTTTCGCTTATTGTAGACTTCCCTAGCATAGTCCCTGCCCCTTCGGCGGACTTTCAATGCTCAGAGAATATAGAAGATCACAGGGCAATCAGAGCTTCACTCTGGTCGGTCTTCTAGTCACTGGCGAGACATAGACTCGTCAGTCATTGCTCCCATGAATAGATCCTCTTCCTAGCGCCCGGAATGTAGTTACTCTAACAACTGGTAGCTAACCACACTGCCGGTACTTACATATCACCGCGCAACTGGCTTCTAACAATAACTCTCAGCATGTAACCGGGCCCTGTGTGTACTCATACACCAGACAGTTGAAATGGCTCCATTACACTACTCCCCTCTTCCAGGATCTTGGTCTCCGAGATCTATAACCATTCTATTACCGTCCATTCTATATGACAAGAAATTCCGTAATATGCAAGGAAATGAAAAACCTAAAGGAAAGAACTACACCCCAACAATCCGCTTGTCCTTGGGTCTCTTAGGATACCTCATATGGAAATCCCGAAGGGCTTCTTCAGCACTCTTCTTGAGATGCTCCCAAGGTTCCCAAGTAGCATCCTCGTTTTCATAACCTTCCCACAGCACTAGGTATTCCACTCGTCTCCTCTTCTTATTGACCCGGCTATCAGCTACCTCCCGGACAACCCAGTTCTGTTCTCGTTCAATCTCTTCAGGTTCCGGTGGGGGAACTCTTCTCTCAGGGTCTACCGGTGCTCTATAAGGTTCCAGAAGAGAGACATGAAAGACCGGGTGGATTCCCATTTGAGGGGGAAGAGAGAGCTTGTAGGCACGGGTACCAATAGCTTCTAAGACCTTGAAGGGTCCCATCTTCTTCTGATCCAATTTTCCCAAAGGCCGCTTTGTTTGCACATTGCGCCGGTCCAACATTACTTCATCTCCGGGCTTGATTTCGGGCGGTGCCAGGGCATGAGCATCATACCACCGAGCCATCCTTAATCTAGCTTTACCTAAGCTGGCATTCATAGCCTGCCAGATAGATTCCCATTGAGATATCATGACCTCGCTCGCTGGATTGTTCCATTCTACTCCTTCCCTTGGGGCCGGCCAGTTGGTCCTGGGTTCATATCCATAGTTGGTATAAAAAGCCGATACTTTGGTAGACTCAGAGACCGCCGAGTTGTATGCATACTCTGCCAAAGGCAAAAGTTCTGCCCAGTCATCCTGTTGATATGAACAATAACTCCGCAAGTAATGTTCCAGGGTCTGGTTAACTCTTTCTGTTTGGCCGTCCGTTTGAGGGTGGAAAGATGTGGACATCTTCAGCTTCACATTGAGGAGACTCATGAGAGATTGCCAAAAGTGAGAGATGAACCTGCTATCTCTGTCCGAGACTATGTCATCAGGTAAACCATGGAGTCTCCAAACTTCCTTCAAGAACAACTTAGCCAAATCTTCCGTTTTATTGAGGGTAGGAAGAGGGATGTAGTGTGCCATCTTCGAAAAACGGTCCACTATTACCCAGATCTTTGTAAACCCACTAGATTCCGGTAATCCCACAATGAAGTCCATAGAGATGGAAGTCCATGGCCGATAGGGTATCTCCAACGGTTGGAGAATACCAAACTTCTTATGTCTGGAGGTCTTATTCCTCTGGCAGCTGTCACAGCTCCGGACATATTCCTCAACATCCTTATCCATGTTGGGCCAAAAGAAGTTGTTTTTCACCCGCTCTAGTGTCTTGAATTGGCCAAAATGACCAGCCAGCTTAGAGTCATGGGTATCGGACAGTATTTCCATCTGAAGCTTCTTGTCTTTGGGTATATACCATCTATTCTTGTAGAAGATGAGACCGTTCTTGACCGACAAGTTCTGGTCTAAATTTGGTTTCCTTTCAACCAGGGAGCGGTGCAATTCCTGCCAGAAACTATCCTCTTTAGCAGCCGTGTATAGGCGCTCTAAGAATGTATTCTGCAATTGATTCACCCTGACAGCCGCTAGCTTTGCAGGATCCAAAACCAATTGACCTGGCCTAAAAAAGATCTGTGGCTCCGGCTGCAGAGTTTCACCTCCCTCTCCAAGGCGGTGATCCC